GGTCATCCCCCCGACGACGACGCGCCAGCGCCGCCGTCGCCTTTCTTGTCCTTGTTCTGGTTCTTGTCCTTCTGCCTCTTGTGGTCCGCGTCGTGCTCTTCCTTCAGGAGCCTCTCCGACTTCATGATGATCGCCTGAGTCTTGCGACGCTCCGCCATCTCGGCATCGAACTTGCAGGTCACCACGCCACCGCTGGTGTCGAAGGCGTGCGACATGTAGGTATCCAGCCCGTCAAAATCTGGATTCCGAGGGTTCTTCTTCACCGCCCGTTGGATCATCAGGGCGCGCCTCGCAATCATCTCAGCTGGCGCTGAGTTGGGCAAGTTGATCTGGTCAAACACCACCATCATGTGCAGCATACTCATCAGATGGTAGTGCTCCAGCGCCACGGCGGTCCTCTCGCCCACCGTGCTGCTGCGCACCCAGTAGTTGTGGTATGTCCCGAACTCGTAACCCGCGGCCGAAACACCGCGGGCGAGCTCGAGCACAGCCCTCGAATTCTCGAAGGGGAAACCATCGGCATGCACGGCCTGCTTCATGGCCCGCACGGCGTCCTTCAACGTCATGGAGCGGAAACCCGTGGTCGGATCCAGGCTCAGCGGCAGCAGCCTCGAGCCCCGACTCTCACCACACAGCTTCTCCTGCATCCGCTTGTTCTTGTCGGCCGGCCTGACTCTCTCCGCTGTGGTCCACTCCTCACCTCTCTTGACCAACGAGACGGTGGTGCGATGAACTGAAAGCTCGGGGCCACCCTGGATCGCGTCATCCACCGCCTCACCGCAGAAGCGGGTCGAGGGATCGGAGTAGACCAGAACCGTAGCACCATCAGGAGCAACCTCACCATCGCGCATCACTGGAGCAGCCCCTACGCCGCCCAAGATCTCAGCCAAAGCCCTCGCTTCAGCACGTATGCGGGCTAGGTAAGGGGCAGCAGCGGGATTGTCAAAGGCGTAGACGTTCAGGCCCCGCGGAAAAGGCGCATTGCGCGCAAGCGGAAGCAGGCCCGGCACAATAGCACGGTCGGCGACGTCGATCGCCCTCACCGAAGAGTCGGGCGTAGACCAGATCCACCTCGAGCCATCGAGCTTGACGAGAAGAGTACGATGGTGATACGGAATTCCATCATCTGGGTAATGTACCAGTATTTTCGGGGAGACGTAAGACCCGGGTACGGGGGACTAGGGTTGGCCCGACGAGGTCGTCAACAAAAATGACGAGGCCGAGCCTGCATTTTGACGAGGCCTCCCGCTGCAGACATCCCACGAAACTCCTCCTCGTCAAAATCCGAAGCGCGGTCGTCAAAAAACGATGGCGAACCCGAGTCCTGGCAAACCCAGGTCTTACGCTCCCCCGATATTTGACGCTCAGGAATGTCCAGACTCATGCTCGCGCAAGCCCAGCACGAAGCCTGCGGCTCGAAGGGGTCTCCACGTCCTGCACGGCGAAACGCGGGCGGGAGCGCGAAGCGGCTCTCCGCCCCTGCGGCTCCGGAGGCCGCCCGACGGCAGCAGCGGCACCGAGAGAGGAGGCAGATCGTGAGGCCCACGACCAAACCGACTAGCACACCCAGCGTGAACAGCCGCACTCCAAGGCAGAAGCACGACTCGTCTGGCTCCCGCTGGGGAACCTCGCAAGGGGTACCCGAAGGCGAGGCCTTTGGAAACTTCTTCGCCAACACCTCAATGAGGTCCTCCAGCCTCTGCAGCCGACGACCACTCACCGAAGGCGCCTCGCACGGCACGACAGGCGGGCACGTCAGCGCGGGGCACTCCGCGCAACGAGGGCACTCCGGTATGACAGGGAGTGCCGGGCAGACTAGGTCGGGACAGTCAGGGCAGACATGGCCAGTTTGGCGACCCCAATCGTAGAAATGTCCCACGTGCAACAGTGCGTTCAGCAGGGGCGCAATCCCAGCTGCAACGACCATCGCACGTCTGAGCCAACAGGACTACGGCGCAAGCATTACCCATGTTGCTCCCCTCCCCCTTTGGGTGGAGGGAAAAGGGAAACAAAGTTACTGGGCATATATAAATTTCTCCATCTCTCTCTCTCTCACCCTCTTTCTCTCTCTCTCTCTCTCTCTTATCTCCGTCCTTCCCTCCTTCCCCTCCCCCTCGCTCTCTCACTCTCTCCCCTCTCTCTCTCTCGCCCCTCTCTCCTCCCTCTCCTTTCTCTCCTCTCTCTCTCTGTTTCTTTCTTTATTTTTCTCTCTCTCTCTCTCTCTATCTCTTTATCTCTCCCTCTCCCGCCTATCCTCTCTCTCTCTCTCGCTTTCTCTCTCTCTCTCTCTCATTCTCTCTCTCTCTCTCTCTCTCTTTTTCTCTCTCCTTCTCTCTGTCTTGCATCAGCGACCCAGGGACCACTCCGAATTTGGGACCAATGACCACCGAGTTTCGGCGCACCGGCCGACCGTCCGCCGCGCGCCACAAGAGGAGGCGTGCCCATCAAATGCGCAAACTTCTCCGTGCCCAAACAGAAGGGCGACAGGCCGCCCGGGCACTGGCGACGGGGCCCCCCCGCCCCCCCCCCCAAACAAAAAACAAGCACAGCGGGGAGGAGGGAGAGAGGGAGGAAGCGAGAGAAGGGGAGAGAAGGGGAGAAAGGAGGGTGGGAGGGAGGGAGGAGGAAAGCGGGGAGGGGAGGGGAGAGGAGACAGGGAGCAAAGAGAGAGAAGGGAGAGGAGAGGGAGGGAGGAAGGAGAGAGGAGGAGGAAGAAACAGGCGAGGCGCGAGGCAAGGCGCTACGGCAGGGGCGGCCCGGCAGGGAGCAGGGAGGGGTGCGAGGGGCGGGGGGCGCAGTGGCGGTGGTCGCGGCAGGTGGTCGTCGCGGTGGTCGCCGCGGTCGTGGTGGTGGTCGTGCTGGTAGCGGAGGAGGGAGGAGGGAAGAGGGAGGACGGATGAGGAGGGAGGAGGGAGGGAGGGAGGAGGGAGGAGAGGAGGGAGGAGGGAGGAGGGAGGAGGGAGGTGAGGAGAGGAGGGGAGAGGGAGGAGGGAGGAGGGAGGGAGGGAGGAGGGAGGAGGCGTTCCCCCTCTGGCACAGCACTCGAGGACGCGGTCGCGTCAGACCTGAAAGCAGTCGTTGCTGTGGCGGTGGTGGTGGTCGCCGCGGTGGCGCTCGTGGTGGCCGAAATGGTCGTTGTAGTGGCCGTGTTGACGGTCTTCGCACTGGTGGTGTGGTCGCGTCGCAGCTGGGATGAAGTCGGACATGTCGCCCTGCAGGCGGATTTTGGACGAAAAACAAAGATAGTCAACAATATTCCAAGATGGTCGGAAATAGTCAAACAAATCGTCCCCAGATTTTTTGGTTGACTATCTTTAAGTTCTCCCCCTGTAGAGGGACAGGCCCGACTTAAAGCTGGGAGTGGTCGCGGTGGCGGTGGTCGTCGTCGCGCTGGCGGTTGGGGGGCCGGTTGGCTGTTCACGCCGCGCTAAGCAGCATCTCCGCGCTTCCGAAAGCCAAGCGGCGCTGGGTCTTCCTCCAAGCGGCCGTAAGAGCGGACGAAGGCGACCTGCTCGTCGGCTGGCCTACCCCCTCACTTCAAGACGGCCAGGATCAGCTCCGTTCGGGATCCGCCTCCTCCTCCTCCTCCTCCTCCTCCTCCTCCTCCTCCTGGGCAACCGCCACCCCGTCCGTGCGAGCCCTGGCCTGCCTGCGGGCGTTGTTGTCGATGTGCTCGCAGGTTGCAGACCACGCCACGCAGACGAGACTGGTGGTCACGGGGTCGCGAGTGGCCGCGCCCCCCTCGCGCGCGCCAGTGTCGGGGTGCTGGCGATCCCAAGCAGGGAGGGTCGTGTTGCTCGGTCGTGGCCTGGTGGCCAGCCTGGGCGTAGAGCCACGGCGCGCTCCAATCGCGCAGGGGATTGTGTCTGTAGTCCCTGCTGGCACTTCCTGGCATGTCAGCCCTTGACGTCCAGTGCTGATACCTCCCTACGCAGTGAACCGTCCTGTTTACGGTGCCAACAGCGCGCCCAGGGCGCAGACGTCGCAGCAGAGGCGCATGCGCAGGTTGGCCAAGGAGTCAGCGTTTGGGAGGGCTTCGTCGCCTTCCTCCGAGGGAAAAGCCAGAATGCTTTTGTTCCCTACCTAGGCTCTGCCTAGAGGGTTCTTACTCGCTGGGGGCAATGTTCCTCGCCCCGGGCGGTTCCCCCAGTATCCGCCCCGCGGTTCCCCCAGCTGCGCCCCCTTAGCTTATCTTTGCTTATCTCATCTTAGCTTAGCCCAGCTTAGCTTAACTGAGCTTAGCTTAGCCTAGCTTAGCTTAACTTAGCTTAGCGCAGCCTAGCTTAGCTTAGCTTAGCCCAACTCAGCTCAGCAAGCGCAGCATTAGCATTATCATGTCAGAGCATCGCATATCATAGCATATCACACTGCAGCATAACATAGCGCAACATAGCATGCCATCGCATAACATAACATGCCACAGCTTAGCATAACACAGCGCAGTATAGCATATCATACCATATCACATCACAGCATGGCATAGCATAGCATGCCATACCATAGCGCAGCATATCATATCATATCATATCATATCATACCATAGCATAGCAGCATAGCATAGCATCTTCAGCACCGCCAGTAAGCGTACATGTAGGTGTAGATGTAGCTGTATATGTAGATGTAGATGTGCATCTCGTTGTTGATGTTGATGATGACGTAGATGCAGATGTAGATGCTAATGTAGCTGTTGGTGTAGATGTAGATGTTGCTTTCCTAGATGCTCCAACTCCTAGGTAGGGTCGCACTGGGATAATTTGTTCGTTTGCTCGTTTGTGTGTCTCTCCCTCTCTCTCTACATATCTGCACTTCTCCATCTCTCTACACTTCCTTCCTTCTCTCTCTCTCTGTCTCTCTTCGCCCGCTGGCCTCTTCGCCCCTAGGAGGTCCTCAGGACGAGGGGCCCCAACCAACGATCCCTTCCTACCCTCGGGCCCCCCTCCTCCTCCTCCTCCTCCTCCTCCTCCGCCCCCGCTTCCCTGACCTCCTGCGCCCCCGCTGGCCTCCTCGCCCGCGGCGGCGGCTCTGGCGGCGGCGGGCGCCGAAGCGGCGGCGGGCTGCGCGGCGCGGCAGGCCGTGGGCGGAGGAGGACGAAGGGGCGGAGGAGGAGGAGGAGGACGAAGAGGACGAAGAGGACGAAGAGGACGAAGAGGCAGAGGAGGACGAAGAGGACGAAGAGGCGGAGGGCGGAGGAGTTGTGCTTTCGGTCGGGCGCGAGTTAGTAGGGGGGGGGGCATAGATTGGGGGGGGGACGCAGAAGGGGGGGGGGGGGGGGGGGGGAAGGACGAAGAGGCGGAGGAGGAGGATTTTGTTGTTCTGGGCGCGAGCTAGTGGAGGGGGGAGGGGGGGGGCATAGATTGGGGGGGGGGCAGAAGGGGGGTGGGGGGGGAGGTGCCCTTTTCGGGGCCCAGAGGCCCCCTCTGGGGCCCGAGAAGGCCCCCCTGCAGAATGGCGTCGGACGAGGAACGGCGAAGATTACAGTCAAAACGTATAGTAAGGACGCGAGGTAAGGACGCAAGACCCTTGGAGGCCGAAGTTGGATTTTTTGGGGCGGGGGGCGGCCAGTGAAAACGGCGAAGGACGGGCCGCAGAGGCAAGGACTCAAGGGTACCCTAGAGGAAGGCGCGCGTCCTTACTAGGCGCGTTGACTGTAGTTCCGAACGAACGCGATCAGCCGTCGCTGGCCTGACCAAGTTTCTACAAGGGAGGCCAGAATCCAGGGGAGGGCTCCACCCTCCCTCCCACCACGAAATCCTAAGAAGGAGGGGCCAGAAACCAGAGGACCACCCCCCTCCCCAAGGGCTCCCAACTTCGCGCTTCGCGCTGCGCGCTGCGCGAAGTGCGAATAGCTTCGCGCTCTCGCGCCGCCTCCCAGGGGAGAAGAGGGGGACGAGGAGGAATCGGAGCCGAACCGCGCAGCGCGAATAACTTCGCGCCCTCGAGGGCGCCCTTGCCCCCCCCCCCGAGCCGTTTCCCCACCCCCGCCCCGCACAGGACCGGGGGCCTGGGATCCCCCCCCCCATCCAGGAGAATCCTGCGGAGGGGGTCCTGAAAGGGCGCCTTTTTCTGCAGCCCTCGCTGCCGCGGAGGCGGAGGAGGGGAGGAAAGGAGGACGAAGAGAGAGGAGCACGAGGATGGATCCGCTCCCGCGCTCACAGCTTGACCCGCCCGCCTCTGACCGCCGCTGACTTACCCGTTCCTTGCCCTGGCGGCGGCGCGGCGGCGGCCCCTCGGGAGGAGGAGGAGGAGAGGAGAAGGAGGAGGAGGAGGAGGAGAGGAGCAGGAGAAGGAGGAGGAGGAGGAGGAGGAGGAGGAGGAGGAGGAGGAGGAGGGGGGGCGAGGCAGGAGGAGCAGGAGGAGGAGGACGAGGAGGAGGAGGAGGAGGAGGAGGAGGAGGAGGGAGAGCAGGAGGAGGAGGAGAGGAGGAGGAGGAGGAGGAGGAAGGGAGGAGGCGGAGGACGTGGAGGAGATGGACGTGGAGGAGGCCCTCCTCCTGGAACGAGGGCGGACCGTCGCGGAATCAGGGCCGCCTCCGGCGCAGCTGCGGCAGCGCCGTGGTGCGGCCGCGCTGGAGCGGCAGCTGCGCGCACGGGAGGGGCTGCGGCAGCGACGGGCCAGGCAACCTCCTCCTCCTCCTTCTCCTCCTCCTCCAGCTCTCCTCATCCTCCTCCTCCTCCTCCTCCTCCTCCTCCTCCTCCTCCTCCTCCCCTCTCCTCCCCTCCTGCTCCCCCTGCTCCCCCTGTCGGTGACCCTTTCCCAGCCCGACCGCCCGCACGCCGCCGCCGGAACACCGGCAGCGCGTCGGCCTCGAAGCCCAGTGCCCCATCCCTCGCATCAGACGACGACGCCGACGACGCCGACGACGCCGACGCCGACGACGCCGCCGACGCCGACGCCGCCTGGATCCTCCGTCGCATCACCAGACGTGCTCGTAGGCCCGATCGGGCGCTTCGCTCGAGATCTGCATGCAAATGGCTACCCTGATGCTGAAAGGAACCTCATCAGTTACAGGTATTGATGGCTGGCGTTCTCCTGAAAACGCGGCTTCCGCCGTAGCGCCGAGTACACTCGTCTTAAACATGTCCAACAGCTGCCAGGATGGAGTCCATATAGTTTTTAAGCTGCGGCTCTAACATTCGCACCGCGCGCCCTGGTCGAACAAAGCGGCAGTCACACGGCTGGCGGATGGTTTTCATAATGCGGCTCTCGCCTTGGCGCCGCGGACATTATTTTCAGACGTTCCCACAGCAACTGCAAGGGTGAAGGCCGTTTCGTTTTCAAAGCGCCATTATCTCTGCAAACTCTATGACCTCAAAACCCAACTGTGCAACAGTTACACGGGTAGAGAACGACTTCTTTTCAAACGGGGGCTATCGCTGGAGACTTCCGCTACTGATGTAGCACCCGCTGAGCATGTACAGCACATGCACGGATGGAGCCAGCTCCTTGAACATCCGGGATCTCGCGTGACACTTCCCTGAGCTCTGCCATCCGATCTCTTTGCGATGACGTTCGCTAGAACTAAGTCGGGCGTGTCCCCCTACAGGGGGATTTGGGACGAGAAGATAAAAAAAAGGCCCCAACACAATACTGCCAAATGGTCAAAAGATGCTCAGAACATCGTCCCCAGACTAATTGTTGACCAGTTTGGAACTTCCCCCCTGTCGAGGGACACGCCCGACTTGAAGCCAAGAGGGCTGGACTGGAGGGTGCACCCTGTGCACAGCAGGGCCTGGCCCGAGTGGCAGGCCCTCGCGCCCGCGCCCGTCCGCCGAGGAGTGAGCGCTTCGCGCAGCGGGAAGGCGTGCTTCTGTAGGGGACCTCTCGGGAGGAGGCGCTGGGGACGATCTGGGGCATCGCAGCATCGTTGGTGCATCCTCGGTTTGCCCTGGTACTCCTCCGTCCCCCTCCCCCGCCTCGTCCCTCGTCCCTCATCCCTCCTCCCTCCTCGTCCCCTCTCCCTCCTCCCTCCTCTTTGCCCTCCTCCTCCTCCTCCTCCTCCTCCTCCTCCTCCTCCTCCTCCTCCCACTCCTCATGCTCCCTCTTTTTCCTCTCTCAGCTCCTCCTCCTCCTCCTCCTCCTCCTCCTCCTCCTCCTCCTCCTCCTTTCTCGGAAGCCCCGAGTCAAAAGGGAAGGAGGCCCGAGAAGGGGGGGGGGATGGGGAGGGAGGAGGCGAAGGATCGAGGATCGAGGTTTCTGAGCGTTGCTGGTCGCTCGCCGGCCTCCGGAGGCCTCCGGAGGCCTTCTCCGGGAACCTCCGCTCCCCAGACCCCCCCAGGGCCCGAGGGACCTTCAGGGGAGGGGGAGAAGGGAGGGTCGGAGGAGGGGGGGTGGGGTAAGCGATGAGGAGGGGAAGGGGAGGTGGAAGGAAGGGGGGGATGGAGGGAAGGGCAGGGAGAGGGCGAGAGGAAGAGAGGGTGTGGCAGAGAAAGGATGGGGATGGGGGAGGGGGCAGGTACAGGAAGGGAGGGGGATACGTCGGGACCGTTCTTTCCCTTTCCCCTCCCCCTCGCCCCCCTCCTGCCCACTCCCCTCCAGCCTTGCACACCCACTTGTCCTCCTCCTCCTCCTCCTCCTCCTCCTCCTCCTCCTCCTCGACCGCTCTCGGCCCCGACGAGGACGGACACAAACGACGGACGAGGAGGACGACGAGAAGCACGAGGGGACGGACGGACGACGCAGGCCGACAACGACGGGAGCGACCGACGACGACGCCGACGGCCCCGGGGGCGGCCGCGCCCTGCTGCCCGAGCGCCGAGCGCCTCTGCAGCAGCGACAGCGGCGGCGCCAGCCTCGCAGCTGCTGCGCCCGCCCCGGCGGCGCGGGCCGCCGCGCCGGCGAGGCACTGATAGGGGGGGGGGCTGCTGCTGCCGCTGCTGCTGCTGTTGCTGCTGCTCCTCCACCTCCTCCTCCCCTCCTCCCCTCCCCTCCTCCTCCTCCGTCGCCCCTCCATCGCCCCTCCCTCGCTCCCCCCCCTCCTCCTCCTTCTCCTCCTCCTCGTCATCCTCCTCCTCCTCCTCGTCCTCCTCCTCCTCCTCTCCTCCTCCTCGTCCTCCTCCTCCTCCTCCTCCTCCTCCCCCTCTCCTCCTCCTCCTCCTCCTCCTCCTCCTCCTCCTCCTCCTCCTCCTCCCCCATTCCTTTTCCTTATAGATAAATTCTCCCTGTCGCACCCCGGTCGCCTGGACTTCCTCACCATTTAGGACCCTGAAGCTTAAACAATGGCAACAGCTTCACGGATGGAGGGCGGGTCGCTTTCAAATGTGGCCTCGCTGTAGCGCCGCGCACACTCGTTTTAAAACATTTTAGCAGCTTCACGGATTTAGGGCGGGTCGTCTTCAACATGTGGCTCTCGCCTTAGCGCCGCGCACATTCGTTTGAAAAGATGCAAGAATGTCACGGATTGAAGCGGGTGGCTTTCAAATGTGGCTCTCGCCTTAGCGCCGCGCACATTCGTTTCCAAGACTTGCAAGAGCTTCACGGATTAAGGGCGGTTCCATCCCAAAGTGTGGCTCTCGCCTTAGCGCCGCGCACATTAGTTTTCAAACGTTGCAACCGTTTCACGGATTGAGGGCGGTTCCTTTCCAAAGTGTGGCTCTCGCCTTAGCGCAGCGCACATCGTTTTACATAATTGCAGAAGTTTCAAGGACTCCAAGTGATCAGCGTACCAGGAACTGTGTTTTGGAAGGCTTCAGGATGAGAGCGCAACAGTTACGTGTATTCGCGGAGTTGAAGTCCCAGGAATGGCGTTCTGGCGCGATTGCGGATCGTCAAGACGCAACAGTCAGATTGATCCATGGCGTTGGAATCCCGAGAACAATGTTTTGGCATGCTTCAGGGTCTTCAAACGGTTGTGTTCCAACGAGGCAGTTCCCTGTGGAAATGCGCCGTTGTAAGGGCCTGTAAAGAGGTCTTGGAGGAAGGATGTATTACAACACCGTTGCTTACTCTTGGGCCTGGGTTTACACTGGTCCTCCTCCTCCTCCTCCTGTTCCTCCTGTTCCCTCGCTCCTCCCTCGCTCCTCCCCCTCTCCTCCTCCTCCTCCTCCTCCTCCTCCTCCTCCTCCTCCTCTTCCTCCTCCTCCTCCTCCTCCTCCTCCTCCTCCTCTTCCTCCTCCTCCTCCCCCCTCCTCTCCTCCTCCTCCTCCTCCTCCTCCTCCTCCTCCTCCTCCTCCTCCTCCTCTTCCTCCTCCTCCTCCTTCCCCCCCGCTCCCCCCGCAGCGCCGCGGCCACTGTCGAACTGGCTGCCCGCGCCTCTGCGTGCCAGGCGGCCGCGGCTGGCCCCGCCCGGGAAGGGTCCGCGTCGGCCTGCCCACGCGGGGGGGGGGCGTCTCCAGGGTGGACAGGCCTGTTTCGGGGGCAGGGGGAGGAGGGGGCGGAGGGGGACGAGGGGGAGGAGGGGAGGAGGAGGAGGAGGAGGAGGAGGAGGAGGAGGAGGAGGAGGAGGAGGAGGGGGAGGAGGAGGAGGAGGAGAAGAGGAGGGGGAGGAGGAGGGGGAGGAGAGAGGAGGAGGAGGAGGAGGGGGAGGGGAGAGGGGGAGGAGGGGGAGGAGGAGGAGAGGGGGAGGAGCGAGGGTGGAGCGAGGGAGGAGGAGGGGGAGGAGGGGGAGGAGGAGGAGGACCAGTGTAAACCCAAGAGTCATCAACGATGTTGGAGTAAACCCTCCCTCCAAGCTCCATCTTCATAGGCCCCTACAACGGCTCATTTCCATTGATGGAACGGACTTGTTGGAAGACAATCGTTTGAAGACCCTGAAACATGCCAAAACACCGTTCTCGGGATTCCAACGCCACGGATCAACCTGACGATTACTTCTTGACGATCCTGAATGGTGCCAGAACGCCATTCCTGGGACTTCAACACAAATAATCAACGTAACTGTTGCGCCCGCATAATCCTGAAACCTTCCAAAACGCCATTTTGGTCAGCTGCTGATGGGAATCCGTGAAATTCTAGCACATGTTTTAAACGGATGTGCGCCGCGCTACAGCGAGAACCACACGTTGAACATGGACCGCTCTCAATCCGTGAAGCTCTTGCAAGTCTTGGAAGCGAATGTGCGCCGCGCTAAGGCGGGAACCACATTCTCAAAACCACCCGGTCTCAATCCTTGAAACTCTTGCAAAGGTTTAAAACGAATGTGCGCGGCGCTAGGGCGAGAACCACATGTTGAAACCGAACCGCCCTCAATCTGTGAAACCCTTGCAAATTTTTGAAACGAAGGTGCTCCGCGCTAAAGCGAGAGCCACAAGTTGAAGACCACCCGCCCTCCATCTGTGAAGCAAATGTTTCAGCTTCAGAATCATAAAGGGTGAGGAAGTCTCAGGCGAAACGCCCAGCCCGCCCTAAAAACTGGCCTCGGGGTGCGACAGGGAGAAATTATCTGTAGGGACAAGGAATGGTGGAGGAGGAGGAGGAGGAGGAGGAGGAGGAGGAGGGGGAGGAGGAGGAGGAGGGGGAGGACAGGGGACGGGGCAATCCTTACTCCCCGATTGGACGGGCAATTCCTCTCTTCGTCGTCGTCGTCGTCGTCGTCGACCCATGCTGAACCTGCTTCGATTCATTACTTACTCCCCGATTGTCGCTCGCGCGCCGTATCTGACATCCTCCCCCTCCCTCCCACCCATCCCTTCCCAGTGCATTCCTAGAGGACCTTGATGGCCCCATCGTGTGATGCGCAATCAGTAAGGGGGCTGGCGGATGAGAAGGAAAAGGGAGATGCGGAAGGATGATGATAAGGAGGAGGAGCAGCAGCAGGAATAATATGATCAGCAGGATGACCAGGGAAGGCAGAGGGGGGGAGAGGAGGGGCACTGGAACGACGAGGAAGGACTAGGATCCAAAGATGTGGCCCGCGCTCGAACAAGAGTGCCGTTCTGGACGACGGGAGAAAAGAAACAGTCCTGACATGTGGCACCGTTTTTGAGGGACCAAAAGAGGTCCGATTAAAACAAGCAGCAGGGCACATCAAGTAACGGAATGCTGTGCGCGAGCAAGCAATACGCTGGAGAGGCGGACGCAAACCGGCACATTGCCAAGGGAGGGGAGAGTCACATCCTGTGATTGCAGATGGGGTGAGCAAACAGCATTGAAGAACATGCGACGGCGTGCACTACGCACCGTGCATCGCCCAGGATGCCTCCCAGAAAAGACGGCCTGGCAGCCTGAGGCCAGCCCAAGCAGCGTCCAGGCGAGCAGGGACACGGAGGCCTCCGGGGCCTCTTGAACGGGAGGGGCCCCAGGAAGGCGTGGCCCAGGACCGCCGCGAGACGGCTCCAGCGCTGGCCAAGACGACTCCGAGACGGCTCTCGGGGCAATTCACCCCAACGGGGCCCCAAGAGGCTCCCGAGAGGCTCCTGGGAATCACCGGAGAGGCTCAAAAGTTTACGCAACTCGGGCATCCGGCGTCCCCAAAATGGCTGCCACGCGAGGCGGCCACGGACGGCCTCCGAGAGCACAGAGGTGCCCCCTCCCACACCCCCAAGAGGGCGCCACAAGGCAGCCCCAGCGCAGCTCAAGACTCGCCATCGCTCGGACGTCGATTCCCCGTGCATGTTCCGTTTTCGCGCGTGTTTCTTGTTCTGCAGGATGATCCGGGATGCTCCTCAATGATCCCCGCGGAGAGAGAATGCGCACGACCAAGAGACGCCAAAACCTGTCAACGCTGCACCAGGGCAGCCCGAGGCGTTCCCGAAGCCGGGACGGCTCCAGGACGGCCTCGAAACCGAGGCGCTTCAGGACGGCCCCAAGGGTCCCCCGAGACGACCCGAGGCCTCCGACACGCTTGGCCCCCCCGCTACCCTCAACCTCTGGGCCAAGCTCCTTCCTATAGAGGGCAGAAAATCCCCCCCCCATACGAAGCACCCCGACAGGCGCAGCCTTCAGGACCCCAAGGGTCCCCCGAGACGACCCGAGGCCTCCAACGTGCTTGGCCCCCCCTTGCTGCCCTCAACCTCTGGGCCAAGCTCCTTCCTACAGAGGGCAGGAGATTCCACCCCCCCTCAGTGGGCCCGGAAACGGCAGGGCCGTTTTTTACCGTTGTCGAAAAAGTGTCTCTTGAAAATGAGAACGGTCAAACAAACGGCGACCGAAAACGGTAAAAACCCGGCAATGGAAACGATGAAAAAACGGCAACGAAAACGGCATCCGACGAGGGCGGAAACGGCAAAAAAATGGCGACCCCTGTCGGGATGCTTAGTACGGGCGTACGAAGCGCCCCGACAGGCGCAGCCGTTCAGCAAACGCACCCAGGGCAGGAAGCGAACAGGGCAGGGCTGCCTCGTAAACGCCCAGGGTTCTGAACGCCACGTGTCGGGGACTGGGCGGTTGTTCCTCCCCTGGTTCCTCCCTCCTCCTCCTCCTCCTCCTCCTCCTCCTCCCTCCTCCCTCCTCCCTCCTCCCTCCTCCCTCCTCCCTCCTCCCTCCTCCTCCTCCTCCTCCTCCTCCTTCTCCCCCTGCCCGCTCTTCACTCACTTCTCGCCCTTTCCCATGCCAATGTCTTCCTGCCTCCTCGAAGGGCCCACCAGCGGGGGCGCTCACGGACCCTCGCCCACGACCGGGCTGCAAAACAGCACCTGCTGCGGTCGAGGCGTGGACCTAAGGAACCCTGGCTAGGGAACGAGGCCCCTCTTTTCCCAGAAGCTGAACTTCGACCCCCCCCTCCAAAACTGAAGGGGAACCTCAGGCAAGGTGCGGAACCCCCACGGAACACCGAGCCCCTCCCCCGCGCAGAGGGCTCCCTCTGCGGCGCCCCGACGCCACCTCCGACGCCGCCCCGGCGCCCCCCAGGGCGGCCCGCCCCTGCGCCTCTGCGCCTGGCCACCCCGCCGCGAGCCCGCGGCGGGGCGCGCGACGGGGCACCCGCCTGCTGCCTTCGCACCCCCGGCGCAGGCCCGGCCCTCCTGCGCAGAGAAAGAAGAACTGTGCACATGCACCGATTCTGGCCAGGCCCACCCTGAGCCCAGGATCGGTGCATACGCCCTCCTGCCCTGGCCAGGAAGGCAGGTGCACCGATCCTGGGTCAGGGCCGGGCCCTGCCGGGGTCGGTGCACGTGCACAGTTCTCTTCGCCCGACTTCGCTTTTTGCCCCATTCCGGGGGGGACTCGCTCTCCCCTCCCCCCTCTCCTCCCGCTCTGCCCGCTCCCGGGGGAAACAACAGGCACCGATACCACTACTCCCTGGGCCTCTCCTGGGACCTCCCCGCCCCAGGCGGTCAACCGCTGTCCCGCGTGGCCTCCGAGTGCCCTGGGGCTGCCATCGCAACGGTCGTCGTCGTCGTCGTCGTCGTCGTCGTCGTCGTCGTCGTCGTCGTCGTCGTCGTCGTCGTCGTCGTCGTCGTCGTGGTTGTCGTCGGCGGCGGCGGCGGCGTCGGCGTCGCCGTCGATCGTCGCCGTCGTCAAGGCGTGTCACTGCTTCCTGGGAGGAGGGATGACAGGCGGGGAGCGAGAAAGGATGAGAGGAGCAGCGGCAGGAGTGAGGAGGGAGGAAGGGCCCTCCTCTCTGCGTCCCGCCTCCTCTAATTCCTGCCTCCCCAGAGCTGCTCGCCACTCTCCCCCTCTCCTTGCCATCCGCTCCCCCTCTCCCCTCCTCTCGCTCACATCCACATCCCCGCCCTCTCCCTGCCTCCTCCCCTCCCTCGCCCTCCCCTCCGTCGTTCTCCCCTCCCTCGCTCTCCCCTCCCCCCTCTCATCCCGCTCCTCCCGCTCCTGGGGGAACCAAAAGGTACCGATACCGCTACTCCCTGGGCCTCTCCTGTGGTGGGTTCTGACCGGGACTTCGGGGCGAATCCCTCGTCCTCCCCTCCCTCGCCCGCCCCTCCCTTGTTCTCCCCTCCCTCGTGCTCCCCTCCCCCTCTCCTCCCGCTCTTCCCGCCCCCCCCTCCCTCCTCCCCTCGCTCAAGCTCGCCTCGCCGCTCGCCACCGCAGCCACCGACCCCCCCCCGCTGCGCTGGGGCGGCGCTGGCCAGCAGCACGGCGAGCACCACGTGGCCAGCGGCAAGCAAGCCGCGCGCACAC